AATAAATAAGCTGATTCAGCAAAGAATAATTTCCTTTGCGAAAGCAATAGCGGGGCTTATTGGCTGATGAGCACGAAATGAGAGGATTACAATTTAGCATTGCAATCTCTAAAGTTGGATGATAGACATCCTCAGGAAGAGATAAAGGAGGGGACCTAGACACATTAGAAATAAGGTAGTCGTTAACAAATACAAGGTCAAGTGTTCTAGTCAAATGATTAGAAATTGAATTGATTTGAAACAACGAAAGATCAAGCATGCAGTCTATAAAATCGTGCTGTGCTGAGGGCACTAGATAATTTTTGGCAGTAAATAATGACCAAGAGATGTTGGGCAAATTAAAATCACCCAACACCATAAATAGGTCACTATCACGCACGTGTGAAGAAACTTCTTTAATACAAGTAATATGTTTCATATAAACTTGAATATCAGAAGAAGGTGGGACATAAGAGCATGTTACATAGACATTCCGTGTAGGAAAAGACACCTTAACTGAGACAATCTCAGCGTCAGTAGGCGTACTAAAACAGAAAAGTTCAGACTGGAGAGTGGCTTTAACGGCAATTAACACCCCACCACCTCGAGTCGGCCGATCATTTCGATACAAACTAAAGTTATTTGATAAAATCTCAAAATCAGATATGGTTGAGTTCAACCATGTTTCTGAAAATGCTATTATATCCGAATTGAAGGAAGTGCTGGCCATGAATAGATTTTTAAGTTTTGAAATAAGACCTCTAACATTCTGATAATGAATAAAGATTTGGTCAGAAGATGAAGCTAGTTTTTTGGGGCAGAAATGGTACCCTGTATTGAAGGGACTGGAAGGGTGACAGGCTGGTTACGCTTTTTAGGCTTGAACTCGTGAACAATCATGTGTGGAGGCCAAAATTTGGGATCACAAATGATTGGGAACATATCATGTGAAACATTTATTTTGAATGATGATATTTCACGAGGGGTGGAGAAATTAAATTTAGTTATTGACACGCTAGCAGAAGATTTGCTAGCAATATAGGCTGCCAATGACTCAGAAGTGGTGTCCGACGAAAGTCGAGACACAAAGACTTGCCTACGAGGGGCAACTACCGTTAAAGTAGGCGCTGGTGGGGCTGTAGGTAATACAGGGGTTGGGGGAGCTAGCGAGGCACAATGATTGTTTTTAACAATCTGGGCAAGATTGCGCGCAGGTCTACCTTTGCGGCCAGGAGCTGATGGGGCTGAGGCAGTTTGATTAATTGGGACGGGATCAGGTACGGGCTCTACTGGGACTAGTACAGGGGTTGAAACAGGGGTAATTGGACAGTCGCTTGGAGAAGGCGATAAAGACAACATTGGAGATACCTCCAAGTTGCTAGGAAGGGACAAGAAAGTAGTAGGTGTCTGAACAGACGTAGAGGGCAATTGCAAAAGTTGAGGCTCCAACCGGCGATTGGTTGGGGACTCAAATTTATATTTGCCAAGCAGCTCGAAACTCGAGTCAAAATTACTCGAGAGCTGCTTAGCCACATTATTTAATTTTAAGAATTGACTTCTCACAGAATTATACATTCTAGAGAAATCAATTTGCTTGTCGATGCATTCTGGGCACGACCAACGCAAGCCACCACAGCCCTTCTTGGCAATAGCAGCGATCTTGTCGCAATCACGCCCAGTGAGACCTGCACATTTAGCATGCATCATATTCTCACACAGCCAGCAATTAACAAATTGCGGCAGTGCAGAATCATCAGCCTGCTTGAACGTGCACGGTTTCTTACAGCACAACATAATTATTTAATGCGTATGCAAATTGCGAGAGCACAGAGCAAAACGAAAACGGTGCACAAGATAGAGCAAGTAAATACACAAACAAATTGTTTGGAGCAAAAAGCAATAGAAAAAGTTTGCGAGAGCGCGATGCACAAGCAGAAAGTATGCAGCGAACACACGCACAAACAAGTGTATGCACAGGGGAGCACCAAAGCAAAAGAATCAAAACAGGCAATAACAACAACACGGAGCTGATGCCGCGTTTTATAAAATGTAATAATTAACAGACTTACGCTGCACAACAGATAACACTTTGCACAGTTTATTAAAGCTTCTTAAATAAAGCACCGAAAAATGCAAAATTTTGAAATAAAAAGCAGGATAAAAGCGCAAAAATATATAAAAATCTTGGAGCACAAGTAAAACACGTCAATCACTCTCAACTGAGAACTCTCTCTGGTTGGCAATAAAAGTTGGGTTATTAACTTATAGCTCTGGGGGGATAGCGGGAAGGTGGCGAAAGGTATGAAATGAAAGATAATTGAAATATCTATAATATTCTAGAAGCAACATATCACGTTTGGTGGTTCTAGCTCTTATTATTTACCCAATTTGCCAAAAAAAACAGGACGTTGATATCGATTTTTATCGATTGCTTGGAAACGAAGTAAGTTATCGATTATCGGAAGCAAACTCGATCTGCGCGGGAGCTAGGAGCATCTACATCTAAAATTTAAAGTCTCTAGCTCTTATAGGTTCTGAGATCCTTTGACTCATACATACGGACGCACGGACGGACGGACAGACAGACGGACATGGCTAGTTCGACTCGGCTATTGATACTGATCAAGAATATATATACTTTATATACATACATTTGGATTTTACACAAATACAATATACCCTTATACCCATTTTTAAAGGGTTCAGGGTATAAAAATAATAAAAAACAAGTAAGAGTTCCTAGTCGGAAGCTCCCGACTAGAGGATACCTTGAACCCTCTTCTTCTAACATCAAATGCATATACATATATATTCTATTTTAGAAGCTATATGTCAAGTTTGGTGACTGGTAGCTCTTATTATTTACCAAAATTGCCCAAGAAACAGGATATCGATATAGATTTTTATCGATTGCTTGGAAACGGAGTAAGTTATCGATTATCGGAAACAAACTCGATCTGCGCGGGAACTAGGAGCATCTACATCTAAAATTTCTCTAGCTCTTATAGGTTCTGGGATCCTTGCGTTCATACATACGGACAGACAGACAGACGGACATGGCTAAATCGACTCGGCTATTGATGCTGATCAAAAATATATATGCTTTATGGGGTCGGAGAAGCTTACTTCTGCCTGTTACATACATTTGGATTTTGCACAAATACAATATACCCTTATACCCATTTTTAATGGGTTCAGGGTATAAAAAAATTGAATGTACAATCAAACCGTTCTTTCTTTTTTTAATCCATCGGTTCTTAATTAATTCAAAAAGGTATAACATTTCAAAATCAGATGACAGTTACCCGATATATTAAAAAAATATCATCAAAAAAGTATTGATCTTTTTTTTTTTTGAGAAAAAACGTGCTTTTTCTGTCGAATTGGATCAAAATTTAGATTTTCTGTTTTTAATACCAATCGATTGTGCTGATCCTTAAGATGCCGAAGTGGTTTCGTGACAACGTGGCAAACCCTCTCATTATTTCATATGAATTTGTGCGCATTGTTGCTTGTGCGGAAACATGCACACACAAGCATTTAAACGGTACATAGAAATATTTAGTGGGCATTGAGAGCACTGAGAGTACGCCAAAGCAGTTTTCTTTAGTTAGAGTGAGATAAAAAAAGCATCGATGCCTTTCTATCACACAAATCATATGTAGTTCTTACTCTCTTGATCTCTCAGCAAGTGAGCGTGTCGCGGATCCGAACAAACGAAGTCGAGGTTGGGTCAGATGTCAACAATTTTCAATGTCCATATGAATTGTACTAGTTATCTCATCTATATGTTCCTTTGTTAGTGCTTTTTCAAAAACATTAATTGGCTCTGCTCTAATAGGATCCAAGTTTATGGTGCCGCATGAGTAAGCTTGGTATCGGAACCGCTTGTCTATTGGCGTTGCTGCTAGTACAGTTGCTTCGTTCTCAGTATTCAAAATACTTAATTTTAGATCCGCTAACGCGTACGAGACAAATATAGTGCTTCCATTTGTTGCGGGTATTGAAACAGTTTGACAATCTACCAAAAAGTGATCGCTTGCTTATTGAAATATCGATACATTCCTTCGGTTTGTATCGATATGTCGATTTTATTTAACTTAGTTACAGATGCACTTAGTTATAGATAACTAATAGCCTCTGTCCACTGGTTTATGAAATGTCACATTTTCAAATTTCACATATTGGTGTTCCACCGGTTGTCGGTAACATGTGAGTGGCAAAAGTACCGCTTCTTTAAATAAACAGCTGATCGAGTTTCTTTAATTTACATAAGCGCCGTAAAGTTTTTCTCCCAAAACTCAAAAATTACGCATTAAGGGCTCCATTTTAGGTACTCTTTTCGAGATTTCGCCATGTTAAATGTGGGATTATTTTAATATTAAATTTCTTATTTAAAGTTGCCGCTTGCATCGTTGCTATATCAGCTGTTTATGGTTATGATACTTTCACACTTTTCACAACATCGATAAATATCTCGATTAATCATCGTAAAAAAGACGAAATGTTCGCGGCGAATTTACACATTTTTTAAAAATGTGCCTTTTTTGAAAGATGGGTGAAATGTGTTTTCTTATGGGGAAACGCACAGGCCGCATTTCACACATTTTGCAAAAATGTCACATTTTCAGAAATGTGTAAGAAATGTGTTCAGTGGACAGAGGCTATAACTCTAACAGCGGATTTGCTGAAATTTAAATTAAATTTTTTCAAATCTTATAAAAGTTATTTTTTTCTAATGTGTGTTAAGTATAGGAGGGTTGAGCAAAGTGCCTTGTTGAGCACTCTCGACTCTAATTCAATTAGGGTTTTAGGTTTGAGAACTTTCTGTTGCATTCAACACATTGTCGGAAAGAAAAGATCCTTCTCCACGTAATTCCATTGAGATATTTAAATTTGCCTGTAATATCGATGTCGAACTGACTTACAGTATAAAATAGTATTATTGATAAAGGTACGTTATACAAGTTAACTATCCTGATTTTGAAATCATGAATACATTTTGCAATATTTATTCTTAGGTTCCCTAAGCAGTGTGCCCGATGCCACATGTAATACAGATGACTTTGACTGTGAAAACGAAAGCGTACAAGATCGGCTCGGCATGGAGGCTATCGCCACTTTGCATCGTCAACTAGATGACGACGATAATGGAAATATCGACTTGAGCGAATCGGATGATGTATGTAAATTAACTGCCACTTTTTAGATTTGATCTTATCATTTATTGTTTAAAATAGTTTCTTCGCGAAGAATTGAAATATGACTCCGGTTATGAAAAACGTCAAAAGGCATTTCACTTTAATGATGATATGCATATTTCAGTTAAAGAGCTATGGGATGCTTGGTTACGCTCAGAGGTACATAATTGGACCATTGAGCAAACCACTGATTGGTTGGCACAGTCAGTCCAACTACCGCAGTATGTTGACCTTTTCAAATTACACAAGGTTACCGGTGCTGCTTTACCAAGGTAGGTATTGTTTTTGCATAGAAATTGCATAATAATAACTTGCTCGGAAATTTGCTTGTGTTTAAAATTGTGCATTATTCATATTCAACCGCAAAAAACGAAGAATGATTCTTGACGGTGCAACTAACTGCGTAATACTTGTTCGCTGCCCCAAAGTCTAAAAGAATATCACCCAAATTTATAGCGATGTAACGAAAATTCCGGATTGCCATGCTTTCAGCAAGCGTAGCCGTTGCTGACGCAGGGAAATGAGCGTGTATTTCATATTACAAGTCTCGAAGTGTCGGTGATTAAAAGGCACACAAATATATACAAATTACGCAATTGCCTGCATGCGCCGTCACTTCCTCGAGGTTTCGTCGTCGCTGGCGAGATTGCAAGAGTTCAGAGACAGTCCAGTAGCCGGGTCTCTGAAGATTTAGTGCTTTAGGGTTATTCCAATTGCAGGATTACTGGAGTATAAGTTTGTGGCTTGAAGCTCCCACTCGCTGGCCTCGTTGCTCAGCAATAAAATAATTATAATGTAGCTTTTGCCAGCAGTTGGCAAGCCGACTAAGCATAAGCTATAACGCTGCTCTTGCGACACAGTCAGTTTACAAACGCTGACCATTTCGATCATAGCACTGGGTACCAAGAATCCGCTGTGTCAGTATCATGCGCGCAACTGTTGGACAATGTTCTGGTTGACAACAAATTATCAAACTGTTGCGTTCGAGAGGCACTCGTTAACTACTCTGCCTTTTGAAACATGGCTGTTCCAATTTATACTAACCACTAATATAAGCCACAATTTAAATGCAATTGTCATTTTCAGAATGTACAAATATAGTCAAATAAAAACTACTGTTAATTATTTCATTAAGATCGGTTAAGAAACACACGGAAGTTATTAAAGAAAGGATTTCTGTATACATATACACACACACATTCATGCCCGTCTTCTTTGAAATCTATCGACAGCATTGCAATTGTCATTGTATTGTTTTCGGTACTGCTATTTTAATTCGTTTTTTCTCATTAAGGCCCACTTATTGGTGTGGCTGTTGAGTAGAGGCGGTCGCAAGTAGTGTGGCCGGTTGCGAGTTCGAACACTACTAATTTTTTTTTTAATTTATTTTTATTACTACCAAAGCAATCGAGCGCGTATAGCGAGCTGCATTTGGTGTTGGAAGAAGGGGGTTCAGGCTTCCCTAGCCTTAATTATTATTTTTTTTTTAAAGTAGGATGCCCCTATTCAGGAGCCCGCTCTGGTCGGATGTGCCCGAAGCTAAACCCAGATTCGTAATGACTTCAAAACAAATTTCACATTAGCGGTTTGGTTCAATAATTGCTTTAAGACTGAGTACAATAAACTGATCATGGTCTCGACTTATTTATTTACATATTGGCTTCTCTTAGTTAGCTTCTTATACCCCATCCGAAACAGCGTCAGCAGACTTGGCGGTCGACATGCGCAGAGTATATTGTCCTGCACTGTATGATGCAGGATCAGTCCTTCGACATGATGTGACAGTTTGCAGAGACAGTCAAAGCGCTATCGAAGATAACGTAACATTATTTCCTGATATAGTAGCTTCCCCAAGTTGAGTTCTTCTATTGTATTGATTATCCAATTTATCAATAATCAATGATAGTTTAATTTATACAGTATAATTTGCTTAGCAGCACCGGTAAGATAGCTGCCTGAAATTTCTTTTCGCTACAATAAGAGGTAAAATTGTATGAATTTAATAACGTTAAGTGCATCTTACTTAACAGCCTTTTGCTGTTAAGCGTCTCATATCACCAGTAATTTTTTCTCCAATTTCTACGAATATCATCTAAATTAACTTCGCCATCTATTATCAAATTTGGCAAATATGTAGTCGATATATGTTCGATTTGACACGTTTTTTGATCTGCGCATGATCGATTTTTTGTTTTGATCGCGTCTTGCCTTTTAGTGCATATAGCCCCACATTACTAAGTATGAAATTATGAAAGTGGGTAAAATAAAGCGCGTTTTAGGGTAGACTATTAAAGAAAAACTGAAAATTTTTGCAGCTGAAATGACAATGTCAACAAAAATGTTGTTTGCACTAAGTACAAGTGTGACAGACTAACAACGAACCGCATAATTAAAAAGCATGGCGAAATCCAACAATCTGCATCCGCGTCTGACTAAAAACGAAAGCGCAAACGATAAGGTTCACACGACTTAATAGAGGAATCGTTGTATATATGGTTTAAGCAACAAGAGTCAAACAATGTTATTCTTGATCGGCATATCATTTTAGCTAAAGCAAAGGAGTTTTGTACAAGGTTTAACGACGATTATGAACCGAACGCCAATTGGCTTTGGCGTTGGCGTTAGCGCCACAATATTAAGTACGGTGAAATTCATGGCGAAACTGCTGCAAATGATTTTGTATCACCGAATGAATACATACGTCTCATATTAACAGGGTTGATTAAGGACTGTAATCCAGAAAATATATCTAATGGTGACGAAACTGGCCTCTTTTATAAAGCTACATTGTATACTTGTTGAAATCAGTTAAGTGGGCAGAAATCCCAGAAAGCAAGGCTTAAAGTTTTGTTCATTTGCAATTCAATCGGGACTTACAGAAAGGCTTTTATAATAGGTAGATCAAAATCTCCACGCTGTTTTAAAAATTTCAAAGTGCCACTGCCATATTATGCCAACAAGAAAGCATGGATGACAATCCAGCTTTGGGATGAAATAATCACCTAACTTGATGTTGAAATAAAAAACCAAAAGCAGAAAATATTGTTCTTTATTGACAACGCAACAAGTCACAGTAGTGTCAAAGACTACGAAAACATCAATTTTTGCTATATTCCACCAAATACAAGGGCTTTAATTCAACCTCTGCACCAAGGCATCATTCACTCTTTTAAATTAGAGTATAGACGTATATTGGTCAAACAGCAGCTGATTGCTGTAAACTGTGGAAAAACCACAACTGTATATTTAAAAACATTGTCGTTGCTAGATTTTTTACATTTTGTAGGTCAGGTGTGAAATAAAAGAAAAAAAAACAAGTAAGAGGTTCTAGTCCGGAGCTCCCGACTAGGGGATACCCTGAACCCTCTTATTCCAACACCAAATAAATTAATAAAAAAAAGTTCCCTTGGCAGGGCTCGAACTCGCAACTGGCCGCATTTCTTGCTATCCACTCTACTCAACAGCTACACCAACAATTAAGTACTTATGATAAAAAAGGAACTAAAATAACATTACAAAAAAAAAGATGCAATTACCATGCTATTAGAATGCGAAGCAGACGCGCATGAATGTGTGTGTGTACATGCATACAGAAATTCTTAAAGCTTAACTTTGGTTTTTCTAAACCTATCTTTATGAAATTTTCTACAGTATATCTTATTGTACCATAGAATATTTGTGTATTCTGAAAAATTCAATTGCATTTAAATTGTGGTTTAAATTGGTGGGCAATAAAAGTTGGGTTATTAACTTGATTTATAGCTCTGGGGTGGTAGCGGGGAGGTGGCGATAGGTATGCAAAAAAAGATACTTGAAATATCTATAATATTCTAGAAGCAACATATCATGTTTGGTGGCTCTAGCTCTTATTATTTACCCAATTTGCTAAAATAAAAAACAGGATGTCGATATCGATTTTTATCGATTGCTTGGAAACGGAGTAAGTTATCGATTATCGGAAACAAACTCGATCTGCGCGGGAACTAGGAGCACCTACATCTAAAATTTCAAGTCTCTAGCTCTTATAGGTTCTAAGATCCTTGCGTTCATACAGACGGACGGACGGACGGACGGACGGACGGACGGACAGACAGACGGACATGGCTAGATCGACTCGGCTATTGATGCTAATCAAGAATATATATACTTTATGGGGTCGGAGATGCTTCCTTTTGCCTGTTACATACATTTGGCTTTCGCACAAATGCAATATACCCCATTTTTAATGGGTTCAGGGTATAATAAGAGCGCTCTATTCGGGATTGCCCTACTATACCTTGAACCTTCTTCCACAAACACCAAATGGCGCTCGCTCTACGCACTTATTTACCTTAGCATATATAAAAATAAATTTAAAAAAAAAGTTAGTTCCCTCTTTTTTAATTTTTAGGACGGTGTGCTTAGAGGAGGGAATTTTTTCAACCGGGTTAATCTGTACAAGTTTATAGGGCATGACGTCGTGGTTATTCACGAGTCGCTCGAGATTACCTTCAAGCCTCAGTGGCAGTCCACGGTGTCGCTACCCTATAATTAGTAAAACACATATCCACTCCGCGTGTCAACACACATGGCAAGAACGTGGCGCACAGCTAGAACAGCTGAGTCTGCCTGCAGAGCTCTATGTACATCGCGGGCGTTACCTGCCTGAGGTTGTCTAGACACACGAGCACTAAATGTCAGCGACGAAGGTAGGCCTTGTATAACTAGACACCACACTTTAGGTTAGAGAGAGGGCCATGTTGAACGCCGGCTTGCCACGAAGTTCGAAATTCGTATTAATGGGAAATAATAAAGTTAGTCGACTACATTTTTATTATTAACTTTTCACATTTTGGATTCACCATGATGAATACGCACTACTCTACTCTTCTTTTCTACACGAAGGTCCTGCCGCCCCACCTGGAGCCCTAGCGATTTGCTGCACACTTACGGTTATCCTCGTTTACTTTCTTTCTCTCAAAGCATTACTCCTTGGAGCTTTCGCTCTTCGCCGTCGAGGTGAAGTTACTCTAGCATCTCCGGCCTCATAAAGTATATATATTCTTAATCAGCATCAATAGGCGAGTCGATCTAGCCATGTCCGTCTGTGTGTCCGTACGTCCATCCACCTGTATGTATGAACGCAAGGATCTCAGAACCTAAAAGAGCTAGCTTTGAAATTTCGAACGTACCCGCGCAGTACAGAGTTTGTTTCCGATAATAGATAAAATTCCCCGTTTCCAAGAATCGATAAAAATTGATATCGAAAGCGTGTCTTTGTAACTTCTTAAATAGTAAACATATAAAAAAATCTAACTTTTTAACTATTGCCACATCCCCTCACACACACATTCATGCTCGTCCTTATTGAATTCTATCAACAGCATTGCAATTGCGATTGCATTGTATTCTGTGTTGTGGGTATGTGCTGTTATTGTAATTCGTTGATTTTGCCATGAGAAATAAACA